GGGGGGGGGGGGGGGGGGGGGGGGGGGGGGGGGGGGGGGGGGGGGGGACTCGTGACTTGGCTGCAGGTTGGGCAGGCCACTCGGGTGTTCTAGCGCCTTGGGGATGTGACTGCGGTTGCAGCCCCCGGGCTTCCTAGGCACCTTCCCTCCACTAGCGACTTGGGCGTTAATATATTGTAAAGGGTTTTAAAGGGGTAAATTAAAATCGACCTTTTGCCTAACCACGTGGGAAACTGACAAATTGGAGCCGCTCAGAATTCTTCATGAAATGAGGTCTTTAAATGTAGTCAGTCGTTCTTTGAATCATTGAAAATGACTAGATTTGTTATTTGTTATTTGAAGGTTTCAAAATGTTTATTCAGCTTTTACCGCCTAAATCTTCGTTCAGTTTAAACAAAGCTGAAGGAAACACGTGATCTTTTATGCAACCTTAATTTTATCATTCAGAAGTAAGGTCGTGGAGTCTTTGATTTACATACCTTAAGAGTATTAGTTTTTATGGGGTTTTGCTTATTGGCGTGTTTTTTTTCTAAGTGGTGGCAACAAAAGAAAGCTGAGTACAGCCATTGCCCTGGTTGGTAACCCGCCTATTGTGTTCTTGGTGAGTCCACACATATTGTAGTCAGAAATGTTACGTATAACAAAACCTGTTTATATGTGTATGTGGAAAAGTTCATAACATTGTTCAACGTATTCTTAGTAAAATAATTTTTGTCGCAGAGGCTCTGTCAACATGGGTGCACCTTTTCACGATTGCAATCACGTGTTAAACGTAACAGCACTGTTGTTCTTTACAGGATGAACCCACTACTGGCATGGACCCAGTTGCTCGCCGTTTCTTGTGGAATACTCTGACCGGGGTAATGAAAGGAGGCCGCTCAATTGTCCTCACATCTCACAGGTAAGCAGCTGAACACGACCCTCTGTGAACATGTAGGCGGATCTTGCCTTTGATTCTGAAGAACCTAGCACACGACAAAAATATTAAAATACCGTAAATTCTCTAAACCCCACGCCCCATGTATGATAAACCCCCTTTCCCTTGTTGTAACAAAACACGGCCTCTCTCTTTCCTCTCTTTCCTTCAAAACATAAACAATAAAAAACAAACTGTGTTACCCGCGCTTTTTAATTTTACTTTACATACATTTCTCCCAAACTTTGCTGGAAATATTACCGGTTCTTGTGCTCAAACAAAATCTTAATTGGTCCGTTGTGTAACATTTCTTTTATCAAAGTAAGCTACGAAAAATTTTATTGGCAAGCGTACAACCTGTTGGCCTTTCGCTTATAAATGAAATAAGTCCTACTCGTCCATGCCGTCTCCGGAAAGAAAAATATGTAGGAAGGGTTTCATAGAAGATCGTTTTAAGGTAACGCCAATAGGCGTCATTTTTTGGTTTCAGTTCTAAGGAGACTTATAGTTGTCCATTTGTTATGTGAAGTCTTGATATAGTTAAATGGAATTTAACATAGTTAACGACTAGGAGCTAGTCTGGTCAGTAGCGTTTTTATAGGCGATTGTCAGTGTCTTGGCCGTCTGTGAGCGTTTGGTTAGCGTTTGGTGCGTTTTGTAGCGTTTGATATAGTTCTATGAAATTTTACATAGTTTATGACCAGGAGCCAGTCTGGTCAGTAGCGTTTTTGTAGGCGTTTGTTAGTGCCTTGGCCATCTGTTAGCGTTTGTTTAGCGTGTGGTGCGTTTCTGTAGCGTTTGCAACAGTCATGTGGTCGTGAGAGCCCTCCCTATCCCCCCCTTTCTTTTCAGCATTTTATTTTATTTATTTATTTATTTATTTATTTATTTATTAGAGGCGGACTTCCAATCGATTTTAACAAAAGCATGCGCTCAGTTTTCTGAATGAAATTTCAGCATGGAAGAGTGCGAGGCTCTGTGTACAAGACTGGCGATCATGGTAAATGGACAGTTTAAATGTTTGGGATCTACTCAGCATCTCAAGAGCAGGTATATTGCTACTTAATCTGGAAGTAAAAAAAGACTTCTGTAGGTTACAATATCCATGTACCACTAGCACCGTAGAACACACACACGAACTGAATGCCTACTGAACTGATACATTGTATGTACTCTCGACAGATCACAGGGTATATTTTGATTTGACGTCACATTTAATCAGCCGGTTTCCTCCCTTCTTTTCATATCAGCAGTGGTTAATCCGACCGATATGTGAAACTTCTTATTATGATCTTTCATTCTGATGCATTTCTTGATAGATTTGGAACTGGATACACCCTTATGGTGAAGGTTGGTAGAGAAACCGTACCTGCGGAAGGTCAAGTCCAAGGTTAGGTTCAGAATACAGTTAAGGTGGCCGAACACAGTTTTCGCGCGCGCTTTTGCTGATGCAATTCAGCGCGTGCTTATGGATTGCAAAAACAAAAAACAAACATGCCGTCAATAGAGCGGTTATTTTATTTACTCAAAACCTGCACTATCTGTGCTATTTTTCTCTATAATTGAACGCAGCGTATTGATGGCTTTAGTCTTTTATTACAAAGATATGTTAGAAAAGGTAAAGATGCAAAGAACCCAGCAATTCTCAGCTTTTTCTTTATTACCGAAAGAACCCAGTTAAATGCAGCGCATGCGTAGTAAGTCAAAAAATTGCGATTGAATGAAAATTGCACTCTTGGAAATACGCCTATTTCTCGAAAACTACTCATTAAAATTTCACGAAATTTGGCACGAAAATACTTCAGGAAATAAGTAACTCAAGTATTGAAAATGATTGAACTTTAACAAAAGAAATTCTAGATATTCCATTGAACCTTCAACAAGGGATAATTAAAGATCTCTCTGTTAAATTATTAGCAAAATGGTGTTAACTTGTGAGAATCGTTACAAGCT